TATAATGCACCAAGGATATTCACTTTTACATCGGAAACCACCCCCAAAGTTTGAAATTTAAGCATTATTTCGACTAGTTATGCTGTACACAGACACAAAAAAAACCCATCATTGTAAAATCAATACATTCATCACTTCGTTCAGAATCTAATAGTTTAAGCGTTTGGTGCACAATTAATGGAAAATGAAGTATTCACAGTTGTTATTTATATCAAACGAAGCAAGTAATTTAATTTATTTTTTAATTTTTTAATTTTTATTAAATATACGGGATATAACCCTTTAATACAATTACACATTATATTCATAGACATTAATACAATTATATTACTTAAGATAAGAAGTATATAGTTAAACAAAACAGCTATAAAGTAAGTAGACACGAAGGGTCAATATTGGCATTACTGGTCATACGTGAAATCGGTTCATTTTTTAGATAGTTTGTGGAGGCGAAAGGGACATAAAAAGGAGCATCAGATCGGGAAGGACGTTGAGGAACACGAAAACAGACTAAGGAAAGCAATTCAGGAGAGTCGATAATTCCATCTAATAATTTTTTCAAGAATTTGATGTCCGCCAACCGCCTACGCTCAGCCAAGGAAACCAGTCCTAGCTGAGTTATATAACTGATTCGTAGTTATGAGGTTCACAGGGGATATAAAAAACGAAATTCAGCATACTTCCAGAGGCGCTGACTTTTAGATATTAGCGCGGGGGCAAATTCTTCTATTAAGTGAAAAAAAATTCTATAGTATGCTGTAGTTTACTTACCGGGAGGAGTAATTACCAAATTGTCCCTTAACTCTAGTTTAATACTCCTCTAGGGTGCTATAAATATATTTGTTTATAACTGTGAAAGCGCTTAACCAACAGTAGGGAACCCGTTCATGAATACCACACGCAGGCCAGTTTCACCACTTTTGACTCTCCTTTCAAGGCCTTCATAGCATGTGCGTAAGAGCTTTCGCTGTAAGGTAGTTCTATCCCTGGACATTCGAAAACCTTCAGAAAAAGGCTTCCCAGAACATTTAGCAGAGTTGTATGCAGAAAATAGATTGGAGTCGGCATCCTTAGATTCACAAATAATTTTTATTGGACGTGTGAAATCAGCACGGGATCTACCAAGACGAATCAGCTTATACTTATCAGCAAGGCCGTAACCTGGGGTGGGGGTCCAGGGGTCCGGACCCCCCTTCACCCCGAAATTTTTAAAAGTAGAAAAATTTTAGCGGTGAATATAGTTTATAAACTATAAATTGTATTAAATAATAATTGTATATTTTTGTTAAAACAGTAATTTAAAATAAGATTAAATTTACCATTTTATTTTATTTCAACGCCGTAATAATTATTTTGTAAATTTAATATTGAAAAAATTGTATTTTATATTTTATCTTTTTTTGGATTTGTGCTTTTGTARTGTGAATAATAGTTAAATAGTCTATATATGTATATAAACAATCAACTATTATGTTTATGTAAATTGAATATTATAATAATGACCTATGTTTTTAATAATGATAATAATACAATTTTATATTTTTAACGTAAAAATGAAGTGTTTAGTATCTATATTTAAAAAAATGTTGGATCCCCCCCCCGAAATGTTTTGCCAGTTACGGCCTTGCTTATCAGGAACTGCATTGTCGAGTGAACCAAGAGAACTAGAAACGGTAAGTTTGTCATGATTAATCGTTACAGAGGTAATCGGTGAATTAGACTCCGGAACTCCATATACAATTAAATTGGGGAGGCCTCTTTCATGCTCAACATTTTCTTAAAGGACTTGAGAAACAATAGATTGGGAATTTTCTAAGGGATTGCTACACTCCAATTTAATGCGAATAATSATCCATTCTGGTTTTTTTCATGAAACGAGATTTTCTTAGCATACCACATATGAGCTTTCCATGTTCCAATAATGGTACGCATACCACAGGTGGAGAAACGCTGAATTCTATTGTAATGAATTAATTCAAATCTCGAATAACAAAAAATACACATGTAGTTATATACATCGTCTATATATAACGTACAATTTAATAATTACCTACCTATCTATAATCCTACAGAGTTGTTATTATGTTAATAAACCAACAATAATTTTGGTATACAAAAATATAAAATGTAATGGGTACACCGTACCTTATATTGTCACAGTACCTAATTCAACCAGGCAAATATGACACGAATTTGTATTTACTTAGAAATAAACATAAATACAGGCAAGCACCTATACTACAGGACGCGGATATATAATTACAATAACTGCATAGCATTAGATACAATATAGGCTATATAACCAAACGATACAACACACATAAATGAAATCATCAAACAAGTTAAACATTATTGACGTACACGTGTACCTAATATGTATAATGTATATAAATATATATATATATATATATATAATTGCTAGTTAGATGTCTGTAGTTGGATATTATAATTTTGTGTTTAACGACCGTTTTTATTTACCTTTCGTTAATTTTCTGTTGAAGTATTGGCCAGGCACAAAGTACATCCAACTGTCGCGTTAAAACGATTAAAACACTCGCGCACAACATACCTATCATTTAATGTAAACTTATAAAAGGTAGTGTATGAGTACTTGTTGGCTGCAATAGCTGATATCAACTGCCGAGAATTCATCAATAATACTTTCATATAATTACATAATTACAATAATTATCTATTAATTATTGTTGTTGTTATTATTATTATTGCACACACGATGACGACGATTACATTGATAGCTGCGTTGCTCGGTTGTCTTTTGATACATCCATCTGTGAGTAAACTTTAAAAGTATACGTATTTTTGGGGAGGGGGTTGATTCAATCCCTTACAAACATATAGATGAAGATAGATATCGTTCCACAATATTTTTTTTAAAATAACTTTAATGTTACACTGGTAAATAGTAAGTTGTTCGTGCATCAACTAATACCTACTTATACGTAATAGGTATAACGTTTACATTAAAGTCAAACAATTTTTGAAATACAAACTTACATAAAATTATAAGGCGCATGTAAATTTCACCGGTAAGTTTTTCTATTTGAAAAAAATTTAAATTCCACTGTTTATTTCCCCCCTAAAATAAAATTAACATTATGTTGGTAATAGGTACTTTCATAATTCAGTTACAGATTTATTAAACATACATCATTACCTATGTGTAGATACAAAAGTTTTAAAAATCGTATAATAATTAGTTAAAATAAAATGAATAACTTAACATTAGTATTCGGGTTTATCTATATTATATGTATATATATTTATATATATATATATAAGTATAGGTAGGTAAAAAAAACTATGAGTAGAGAGCATAGGCGCAAATCGCAAGGGTGCTAAGGGTGCTATTAGCACCTTGAATGTTAAATGCTATAGCACCCCCAATCCCGTGTTTATAACTTTAGTACTATTACCATCATATTTCCATAATAATTACATTTCTTAAAAATTCAAAAACAGTTTCATATTTATTTGATTATTTATAATATAATATGTCGAGTTTACGTCTGGATATATTAAACTGCAATGATATATAAAACATATTATATAATATCACAATAATTGTTGTGAAATTATGATATTAACGGGAAATAATAAACTGTTAAACATATAGGTATGTAAATAATAAAATTCAGAGTATCTACAATCTACGCAGACCGACCGCAACGACCACTATAAAGTTTTATCATTGATTATTATAAATAATATAATAAATAATTATAATTAGTCAATGGTTTTATTTAATTAGACCCGAAGTAGGTAATTCCATAAAATAGGATATTAGGATTAAAATAATTTTGTAGCTTGATTGCATTCCGTCCTGCCGACCGGCGACCGTCACTATAAAATGATAATATATATATATATATATATATATATATAATATTATCAAATATCAATTATATTAGTTATTAGTGTTATTACAAACATAAATACATAATATCATTGATTATAAATTATAAATAGTTTTTACTATAATACTAGAACAGTTCCAATCATGGCATTACCCAACCATGAGTTTACGCGATTATAAAATAGTTCGAGGTCGTTCAATATTATTCATCGTTCACGTTTAGTGTTTTTCCACGATGGGTCAGGAAAGACTATCTGACTGATCGATAATTCATATTGAGAGCGATATAGTCATTGATAATGACATAATTTCAAATAAGTTTGATGAAAATAAGCGCACTTGATCTTTAAATTTTTAATAAATAAATAATGAAAATAAAAATATACCTTTTTTATATAAAATGTTTAGTTAGTTTGATCTGTTTCCTCAAACATTGTTGATGCTTAAGCCCCCCCTAATGTTTTTGGATAATTTGCGCCTATGGTAGAGATAGAGTTTTAAAATGAGCAGCTACTGAGAGAGCTGACTATGTTTTAATAACGTCAAACGACATAACAATTTGCAAATTCACAGAATATTAATTTTTAATCTGTGTATAGGTTCTTACATCGACCGCCGCAAGAGTACCAAATTCAGATTTGCCGTTCGAGTTTAACTTAGATAAAGGATCTGTTATTACCGAAGATAACATTCTCACCCAATCAGTGTCTAGTGACGGACAAAATGTTATCAAAACAAATAAACCACAGCCAATAATACATTATCAAAGCGATAATAAAGATAAAAATAAGTCGTCTAAACAACAGAATAAGAATAAAAAACAACAAATAGAAAATAATGCGGCGAACGGTGCAACCAAGTATCCTACTGAGCATTCGAGTGTATCGTATTATAGCAATAATCCAATAATGGATCAATTTAGGTTTTTTGAAAATCTCAGCAAGTATGTATAAAATCATATTCAATCAGAAATTCACATTAACTAACATTTGATAGTCTCAAAATAATGGTATTTTCTAAAAATATTGTTTAATAAACTAAATTAATATTGTTTTTGATTACCTACTTAATTTATCAACTGTATATTATAAAATATTTTCTGCTCATTTGAACATATTTTACGCAGATATTTTCCTGGAATTGCCAACACGAGAATTCAATACATTTGAAAACACAAAGAGGCGCATTTAAAATATATGAAAATATGACCATTTTCATGCAAAATCACAGTTTAACAGATAATTATGGTATTTAATAAAATAATGATAACTATATTTTTGTGAAAAATATAYACAAGTAATTTTGTTTTATTTTTATTTTTATTTAATCCGTAATGTGATTACCTAGGTATACGATGTTATTAACTGCGACGCATAAGCATGAAATAATAAAATTTATATTTATGATTTACATTTATATTATATTATCCATCTACATATTAATATCATATTATTTTTATTAATATTAATTATTATTTATTAAACCGTGTCAACATARTCTATTAGGTGGTTATTTTTAGTAGGTTTAAACTTCGGTGGAGGGTACGGTTAGTTAAAACACGTGTTTGGGTGGCAAAGATTTGTCGCTAAGAATTCAGATGATTACCCACATCCGGGAACTAGTGGCACCTGCAGTCAGTGTTGGCACTTAAATCACGTTTTATGAGTGAAGCCAGACACCGTTCCACATTGTATTATTTAAGTATAGGTGGTGTGTACCATCTTGTACAAGTTTATATGATGGGCAAACTTTGTTATCGAAGAACGAACAAAATCAAAACGATAGATAACAATTTGGTAGGTAGGAATCTACTAATTTTTTATATTCATTTGTTATACAACATTCACTTATATCGATTGCCTTTATTATGTATAGTTTATCATGTGAATTACCTATATATATATGGTACTCATGGTTAGCAGAATTTTGGTCCAATTCACAAGGTCCAGATAATTTTTAGTCTGAAAATATTAGACCTATGCCATTTTATTCCAATCTATTTTGTTCTATTAAGTTAAGGACAAAATATTATAGCCCAATATATTTTTCGTTAAGTTTTTATAGTTCAATTATATTATGTAGTCCAATAAATGTTTTGTTGGATCCATGAATACCACAATACTTAACTTAAAAAATGTATTAGGGCTATTGTTTTTACAATTCATACTATTAGAGGACTTTGCTAGAAGTTGTTGACAGTCTAATGGATAGCTTGGATGAATGAAAGCGTTGTTGACTATGCTATTTACGATTGAATCAACATAATTATATTCGTGGGTGATAAGCATGTGATTACAATTTCTGACTACGAAAAAAAGTTTTTCCCGCACTGTGATCGAATAACTCAAAATACCTAATTAGTTGTCCCACCCAAACGCTGAATTTTGTGTATCTGCTTATTGTTGTTGTTTTGATAAAATAATAAAACTTGAATACGGCTTTAATATTCCTACGCGTATTTTGCACACAATATAGAAATCAAATTAGAAAGTAATTAAAATTAATTTTTTCTAAAATCGAATGTTTGATAAGCATGGAAAAATGAAATATGACAAGAGCATAATAATTTATATTTAATAATAGGTACATAAAAAAGAATTTAGATTAATGTATAAAAATGAATGACAATGACAAGCCCCAGATAATGTATGCATCACAAAATATGTCACATAATATTAAATTAATAGGTAATGGTTTTAAATTTTAAATATTCGAAGTTTATTAAATGCAGTGTCTAGACAGTGAACATAAAAAAAATTAGGTTATATTTGCAGAGATTCATAGGAGTATGAACTCCATACCATATTTCAAATTATACGGCAGCAGTATAACTTAAGCCGCGTTATAGGACGGGCTAACATGTTTGACTGATTGATTAGACAGCTAAGAGCCATTAATTAAATTTGAAATAAAACGATTTCAAACAATATTGGTGATTTTACACAAATCTCGCAAATTCACAAGTGTCTCGACCACCTTTTTTGTAGCCCACAAATATTGGAACACATTATGGTATTATAAATTAATTATTTACCAGCCTCTAAACCCTAAGTTCGGGACCATCTTTGACACCTCTAATTCGGTCTTACCTCGACTATCACTTCTTGTTTCATCGTAAGAACTATTACAAATAGTGACGGGTTGTCGGTGAATATCCCGCCGGTAAAAAATTTATTTTGGGAAAAGATCAAAAATGTTTTTTATCTTTATAAAACATATCTTATATTTTCTTCTAATATAATAACAGTGAGCTTATGAAGCTTTTTTCCTGGTTAAAAAGTCATTTTTTATCATTATTATTTTAGAATTTAAAAAATAAATAAATAATCTAATTAGCTTTCCACCTAAAATGTATTTAATTAAAATATTTTATTTAATATGGATAGTATATATATAATAGATAAAATATCTATCTACTATATACATAGAGTCATAGATTTGGATCACCATATAGCTTACATTTGTTCATAGATAAAAGAATGTTGAATAATTTTTATTTGAAGTAAATATCCAAAATACCTAGTGTTTTCATTAAATAACGAGTAGGTATATAAAAAGTAAATTAATCAAAAATATATTTACCGAGTATTTACCCTTAACCCATCACTATTTACAACCTCTGTGTTTAAATAGGTACATATTGTATTATGCTATTAAGTTTAATATTAGACAGATATAATAGGAGTATAATAGGTATGGGAAACAAATTTGATTTTTTCTAAAACTAAAATTAGGAAAACATTTTTTTTATGGTTTTTGAATTTGTAATSATATAATAAATCACGTTCTGGTGTTCATAAATACATAGTAGCCATCATGAATCTAGATTCTAGAAAATTACCAAAGTCATCTACCATGGCTATCGTGGGTATTATACAAAAATGTCCAAAGAAAAAATTTCCAAAAAAATGTCCGAAAAATTTCCATAATCAAAAATGTCCTCGGTGAAAATATCCCAAACCAAGAATGTCCATGCTAAAATTTTCCAAAATTGAAAAATTGATTGACCGTTGTATAATAAAATGGGAACACCCTGTATCACGAAACTGAAGGATGGAATCACAGATTTTCTAAATTAGTAAATCATTCACATCTAAGCATATGGTCACTCATAGAAAAGATCCAATTAGAATTTAGAGTCGATGAAGTTAAAATTGGGCAAAGAGATACCGGACAACCTCCGGAAAAAAATGTAGGTATGTTAATATTCAAGAATAATTTTAAAAAATTTGTGAGGAATATCTATAATAATAATGAAGGAAATATTGAAAACTATTTAAAATAATATCATTGACGTCTATAAATTTTAATTAGTTAATATATTATGTTTGTGTAAATTATTTGATTTTTTTTTTGACATTTTTAAATATTCAGCAATAACGAAAAAAAATTTTATTTTTTAAAAATATTATTATAGTCAATGTTGTAAATACGCATTTAATTCTATTATACTGTGTATAATATTATATTTTATCTATACTTATTTTATTCTATTTTTGATTAAAATTTAAAAAAGTACAGGAGAAAAACCACAATGCACTTCTTGTGGAACTGAACTCTCAGTTAACCATGTAATTACCGAATGCCTCCAATACGCAGATGAACAAAGAAATTTCGAAGTACCCAACACACTAGATGCAGCCCTCGGACCCGACGCAACTACCACCACATAAATCCTTAAATTCCTAAGCAAAACAAATCTGTATAATAAAATTTAAATCTAACTAACTAATCTAATCTAACTGTAACTAATGSCCTTTGTCACCGATGTTTATAAGAACAATAAAAAAAAAGTACGAGAGGAGTACAATAATAATGAAAAAAGTATTGATAACTACCTATAATATTATCAATAATTATTTGTGAGTGATCTAAATTATTAAAAAGTATACCAACGGCTGTTATATGAACATATTTATATTCCAATAAAATGTTAGTACMTATAATATGTATTCCCGAAGCAATTAAGCCTATAAGTATTGCGTACTGCAAACATTCAGATATTATTATAACGTAGGTATAATCAGACATTTAGACCTATAAAAATAGTTTTAGTCCTACACAAACATATACGATACACTAACCACATAACTCATTAACACGTATACCTATGTCCTATACTGTTCGAAATGACCTTTAAAATACATTTGATGAAAATTATTGATAACTAAATATAATTTATTCTGATATATTTATATATATACTTTAATACAGTTATATCATAAATATGATAATACTTTTAAATTATCATTAATTCCCAAAATACTGGAAGTTTTATTCATAAAGAAATGAAGTAATTATTATATTGCAAATAATTATGCAATTAAAATAATAGATTGATAAAATGATTTGAATGTTAGTTAATTATACTCTGTAAAACAAGGATAAAATATATTAGGTATATTGTACCACCATAATTATTATATGTTGTCTGTTACCTACCTAACATAAGTTATAACAAAGTTATTCTATTTTTGTATTATACATTTATATATTATAAAGTAATTAATATTTTACTTAACATACTATTTTTTATAATATTTGAAATTTTTAAGGAATATGATTATATGAACATATATATATATATATCAATATGAACTTATGAATAAATTTAATAATAAGCATTAGATGTGTACCTACATATATTTTGTATAATGTATGTTCCTGTATATTTATTTAAAAAAAAAATGAATTTTTAAAGAAACCATATTTATTATTTATTGGTTGGTACCTAAATTTTTAATTTCTAAATTGTATAATGTATATGCAATTAATTAATTRATTGTTATAAACATATACAAGGATATTAGTTGCTACTAAGTGATGAGTACTGGCGTTGGGAAAGTGGCGTCCCCATCGCCCAGTACCCTTCATCAGGCGCTGCAATAGCCCCGCTCTGGTCTTAAGTGATTGGAGTGGTCTGGTCCTCCAGGCTGGGGGTTGGCYGGTTGGGTACTGGGTTAACAATCTAGCCTCTTAAAAAAAACTTATGTTCAGGAACCAAACAAAAAGCCTCGGAATAGTGGAGATAAGAAAAACAAAAATGGAAACTGGAAATCGGAAATATCTTTTGGTACATAGAACGTTCGTACATTATACAGCACTGGAGCGGCACATACAGTGACGCAAGAAATAGGGAGATATAAATTTAAAATGGTTGCTATCCAAGAAATTAGATGGCAAGGAACGGGATCCTTAGACATTAATAATCATACCATTTTCTATGGGGATTGTGATGATCGACGACAATTTGGTACGGGAATAATATTTCTTAAGTCAATAGTACCAAACGTAATCGAATTTAAGACATTTAGCCCAAGAATATCACTATTAACAATTAAAGCGTACTGGTTTAATCTCACAATAATTAGTGTTCATGCCCCTACTGAGGAAAAGACCCAAGAAAAAAAAGACGACTTCTATGATGAATTAACGAACGTATTAGATGGAATGCCTAATAACAGAATAGTGGTTATATTAGGAGATAAAAACTAACCTAAATACAAAAGTAGGAAAAGAATTAATATTTAAACCGACCATTGGCCACCATAGCTTGCATGAAGTAACTAACAATAATGGCCTCAACCTAATCGACTTTGCAACGATCAAATGCTTAGTGATCAAAAGCATAGAAATTAAAATTAATTTTTACCCTAAAAAAAACCCCATTAAAAGATCCATAAGGGAACATGGAAGTCACTAGATCGGAATCACACAAATCAAATTGACCATGTAATTGTTAATGAATAATTGTTAATGACATGTTCAAAAACAGTATTACGGATGTCAAAACGATGCGAGGAGCGGACTGTGATTCTGACCACTATTTGGTTAAGGTAAACATTAAAGCAAGACTGAAGAGGAGGGTGGCAACAAGACTAAAGATTATTGACAGATATGATATAACTAAGTTCACAGATGCAATTTGTCGTAAACGTTTTAAAAGTGAGATACACAAACGCAGCAGGGAATTAGATATAGATAGTATAGGCTCAATAAATAAAATGTGGAGGAGGGTACAGAACACAATAAATGAAACATCAGCTGAAGACAGGTTAATTATGTTATAGGACCCAAATACATATAACAAAACATAACTAGTAGCCTTTACATATAGTTTTTTGGTCACGGGTGCAACCTAAAAATTCAGTTGAGCCAATTATATGTTGACTGCTTCTACCAATATTTTTTTCCCGTGATATTCCATAATAAATTAGCTACCATAGGGCAAGACCGTAGTCCGTAACTTGAGGGTCCTGATCAGGACTTCCCTTAAAMATTTTAAAGGTTACAGAGCATGAGTTTTTATATTTTGAACGAGAAAACGATAAGGGTCCAGTACTTATCCATAAAAGATAAATATTGGATCTCCGATTTTTTTTTTCAGTTACGGCCTTAAGGTTTTGGAGTTTAACGAAGTTGTGATCAAAATGTAACCAGAGCAAATTATTTTTTAATTATAAACTAAAAATCGCATGATTTTTGTTAAAGTTTAAATTATTATAAATCATTTGTTACACATCTACATGTTTTACAAAATGTTAATATTTTGATATATCTATAAAACCTAATTGATTATTGCTGAACCTTGCAAGTTCAGTGAATTTTGTTTGTGTTTACTATTTATTAATAAATAAAATGTCTGCAATATTAATTTAATATTTTTTAGTGAATAATAACCATAGGTAGGTACAGGTACAATATAAAATATGTATGTAACAAATTAATTATTTGAATGGCGGAATTAATCTTTTAATAATGATCATGAGATGAGATGATATAATACAAAAATATATTTTAATAGTAAGTTTATTTCTAACGCTACTATAGATTTATTGTCTCTTAAATATGTTGAATATACTAAAATACATTAATACCTATTAATCCAGTTGTGAAATCAGAGGTTAATAAAAAATGAAGGGGGTTGAATATCCCCCTTGTTTTTTTTTGCATTATTTTTTGGCTGCTAGCCTGTTATTTGTTATGTATGTATGTATGTATGTATGTATGTATGTATGTATGTATGTATGTATGTATGTATGTATGTATATATGTATATTAAAACAATGTAGCCACTTTGTTTAATTTATAATTCTGTGGTAAGGAGTCCGATTCATACATGCAATTGAAACGTCCTTTTCACATTTAAAAATATTTCATGAAATGGACATTCTAATTTTACATTATGTAATTTTTTCACTTTGCGAAGTAATTGTTAAACAACACAAAATTTATACTATTATATATTTATGTCATATTTAATACCATACAAGAATTGTACCTGCATATTCCTACCATATACTATAATTTTAAGTTGTATTTATATAGAGTTAAGTTAAGAACAATAATAAATATTTAAGTCATATTAAATATAAAAATATATAAAATACTTGCTTTATAAAGCGAATATTCTTTTTCTTTTTTCTTTATTATAATCTTAAAATGTTTCAGCTCACATGATGCTATTACAAGTAATAATTTTTTAACAATGAATTAAAATTATACTAGATAGGTACATGAATTTTTAACATTGATACAGTTGAGTAAATTATAGTTGTATATAGTATGAGTGTAAGTGTATTCTTCTATGGGTCTTCTGATGTTCCATTTGTTAATGAAGGGTATACCCGTAGCATTGTGAGTTTGACTGGACGTTCCATGTAAGTTTTCGTCGAGAAAAACACCAAGATATTTTACCGAGTCTTCTTTTCTGTTCCACTGTATGCCCCGGTTGTTAATGTAGATGCTTTTAGGATCCTTGTACCTTTCTAGGATGAATATTTTAGCAGCGCTTTTGGTCGGGTTAAGAATCAGCTTTCATTTTTGGAACCAGGAAGTGATTTCACTCAATGAAGATTGAAGTTTTTGTATCGATGAGTTGTCTTGTGTAAGGATTGTCGTATCATCAGCAAACATTGCAAGTTGGGAGTTGGAAGGATTGGGAATATCGTAGCAGTAGATATTGAAGAGGGTTGGGCCTAAGACTGATCGTTACGGGACTCCAGATTTTATTTTGTGTCTTAGTGATAAGTCTATGTCTATTCTGACTTGGAACGTTCTGTCTGTTATAAATGATGTTATGGTTTTATAAATAAGTAAGCTAGGAGATCTATTGCTTTAAGTTTTGTTTCTGGTTCTTTATGCCAGGCCTTGTCAAAGGCTTGTATTAGATCAAGACAATTTGCTGTTGTGTATTGTTTCGAATATTCTTAATTTAAACTGATTTTTAATTTTCTATACCAAGTGCGTATACAGAAGTGGTTTGGGGT